TATTTCAAGAGACTCTTGGAGGAACATGGGTTTAAATATATTCCAGAAGGAGCTGCTATAGGTGAAGAAATGGCGAAGGAGATCAGGAAAGGAGGGCTTTTTTTCAGTGTGAGGTCAGATTTGAGTATTGTGGGATTTGTTATAGGAGGTAAATGGGATGTAAACAGTGGAATTGGGGTTATTGGGTCGCACGTTGATTCGTTATCAATTAAACTCAAGCCTGTTTCCAAACATAAGGCTATAGATGGATTTAATATGCTAGGAGTGGCTGGATACAGCTCGACTTTGACGGAGTTATGTTTAGATAGAGACTTCGGAATCGGGGGGACGATTCTTGTGAAGAATGGAAACGGCAAGACGACTAGAAAGTTGGTTAATTCGTCTCCGCATCCGATTGCAAAAATACCTAAACTAGCAGAACATTTTGGCGAAGTTGCAGAGAAGAAATATGATCAGGAGACTCAGATGGTGCCGATTATCGGATATGGACAGAATGAAGACGAACCTAGCGAGGTGGAGAAAAAGAGCCCATTATATGGTAAGCATTCGTTGGAATTGTTACGGTATATATCCAGGATATCGGAAACACCAGTTGACCAAATAATGGGCCTTGATTTGGAGTTGTTCGACGTTCAAAAAGCCACTAGGGGTGGTCTTTCTAAAGAATTCATATTTGCGCCTAGAATTGACGATAGATTGTGTTCATTTTCAGCTATCTATAGTTTGATTGAGTATAGTAAAACGTTCAATGAAGACTTTGGGGAGTATGATGGTTTTAATGGGGTCTTGTTAGTGGATAACGAAGAAATTGGCTCGGGAACTAGAACAGGCGCAAAAGGTAAATTCCTAAACGCCGTTTTGGATAGGGTTATCGCTATTAGAGGTGAGAAGTCATCGGCTGCTAACTTGGCTTTTGCAAACTCTATAATACTTTCGGCAGATGTAACGCACGCATTGAATCCGAATTTTAAACAAGCGTATTTGAAGGATCATTACCCGCTTCCAAATAAAGGACTCACCATTAAAGTCGATCCGAATGGACATGTCATGACGGATACGATTGGCCTAGTTTTATTGGGTAATATTGCTCGCAAAGAAAACCAGCAATTACAGACATTCCATATTCGAAACGATGGTAGATCGGGTAGCACTATAGGCCCGGCCTTAGCGTGTGATACGGGTGCAAGGGTTATTGATGTCGGATTACCACAGTTATCAATGCACAGTATAAGGGCCATGTGTGGTTTTAAAGAAGTTGGTCTTGGGGTTAACATTTTCAAATCTTTTTTCAAGCATTGGAGAAAATCGTACGACGAAATAGACTATTAATATATCATTAAATCATGTATTTAAAATAGGTGAATTACAAATAAATGCTTCCCATTCAGGGTATAAAACTTATAAAGCATATGACGACGTTTTGACGCGAGAACATAACACGACAAAACATTCCGTCATAATACTAGTAGCAGAGCATGCAAAAATTAGCTATAGTACAAGGTATGTGTTGGAATTATTATATGCATCCGAGGATGAACGATGCTACAGCAAATGACGAATATGCCCATTTCATCTTCAAATGTGACATGTTGCCTTCACCCATGTTAGCAGAGGACATCAGGTCGGTATTTGAGGCCAATGATGTCATTTTTCCTCCACTGGAGCTACCAGAGGCGCTGCTTTGTAACGTCAACGTTCCGAGCGCCGAACTAGCTTTGAATGAACCTGTAACATCTCCACCAGACGAAGAAGCCACCAAGATATCGTCGTTGGCACTATTACTTATCTCAGCAGCATCCTGATGCTTACCATTACTTATGGATAACGAGGTGACCAATTGTAAGTTATTTAAACCAGTAGCAGAGCTCATCTGATCTGTAAATGAACTTGTAGCAGATGTATCTAAAAGCAATTCTGTATTAGCCATTTTGGATATTTGACTTGTTGGATTCTAGAAATTCAGTATGTAATCGAACTAAAATTCATCAGCCTCCTTACATTAAAAACAGTAGATTTCTACTTTATTTATACCTTAATGTCATCTTCGGCTACACAAATCAGGTACGGTTTTACAAATTGAAACAAAACATGAAAACAATGCAAGGGGTACAACCAATGACGTAACCAAGAGATTTTTATTGTTTCGCATCAACAAGCTTTGTAAATATTGACTATTAATCTCGTCAGATAGTTTTGAGAATACAAGAAAGATCATGCTTAACGAACAGATTATATAATAGCAAGTACGAAACCTACATAGTCACATTGTCACATAGTTACATAGTTACATAGTTACATATGGGTATTCAATGATACTTTCATGCTCTGGTGAAGTAACGGTGTTTGGGTGGTGTATGCTACAAGCGCGTATAGAGAGCATCGACATCAAAAATCGGTTAGTGTAACAGAGAACAATAGGAATGTATACTGGAAGCCGCAGAGTGCACCTAAAACAAGACTACCATCAAACAAACATTCTTATATACATCTAGTAGACGCAAATGTTGTGGACTATTGTTTGGTACCTGGTGCGGTGTTTATTGTTATCAGATGACGATTTGATTACAATGTATGAAACGGAGGAGCGAGGTATTGACGAGATTAAAGCTACAGCAGCAAAAGAACGTATGACGTGAAGTGAAAGCACAAAAAGTGTAGATTGATAAAGCGAAATACTAAACTGATAAATAAATCTATGTATTTGACGAGATGAATTGAAATTGTAGTACAGTAGAGTTCAGTTATTCGAGAGCAAATTACGTTCTTCGTCGAGCTGTGGTGGTTTGAACGTACTATTACCGGAGATTAGACGAAATGCCTTTTGGAATACGTTTGGTTTCTCTAATTGGCGTACTTTATATTTGAAAATGACGTCGAAAGAAGGTGGTTCGATTTCTTGTGGAGGGACATTAGAATCCAACGCCGAAAGGTCAGATGGTACGGGTGGTAGATTACCAGTAATAAGACCGTCAAATTCTGGTTTGGCCTTTGAATTACGAGCAATTGACGCTGGAGATTGGCGAAATGCTTCATTAACTATGTTTGCATGGTTTGGAGTTTCAACAGAGATACTAGTTCTGCGAATCTCGATACCGCTATCCACAGCCCCGTAGTTATTGATAGTAGTAGTTGATGCATTGTTTCCACTGGATGCACCCGAATGGAACGAGAAAATAGACGAGTTATCATCAAATACAGAACCCATGTCCTCTAAGGTCAACCCCTTTGTTTCCGGAAACAAGAAGTGGACACATAAAAATGATAATGCACACGAGACGGCGGAGATCAAATAGGTTCTCCATTTAATGGTATCCAATAATATTGGGGTCATTTCTCCTACGATAAAGTTGAATAACCAATTAGTTGCAGTGGACATGGCAGCACCTTTAGATCTAACACTATTAGGTAATACTTCATTCATCATCCATGGGATTGGGCCCCAACTTGCACCAAATGCAGCATTGAATATGATCACAGATACAACCACTATGTTTGGGGTGTAAATATTATCAAGGAATAATGAATACGAAATCACTAATAATGGTATACCCATAATAACAGCCCCAGACATCAATAATGGCTTTCTACCCCAACCATCCACCAAATACCATGGCGGAATTGTACTCAATACGTAAACTATGGAATTAATACCAGTCATTAAAATGGCCAGTCTACCAACCCAACCAGCCAGCTCAAAAATCATAGGTGCATAGTAGGAAATCATGTTAATACCATTCAATTGTGCAAACATCTGCGAAAAGCATGCCACTGAAAGACGTTTCTTATATTTAGTTAACATATAACGATATGAACGTTCCCCTCCTTCGACTCTTGCAATGAGAATGTTTTCCTTAATGTTTCTATATTCCGTTTTAGATAATTCGTCTTCAACATCACCATCACCATACAAATCAGAAATCACAATCATTCCTTCAATATCATGATTATGATCTAAAAGCCATCTTGGGGTTTCTACGATTACGAATGATCCAAAAAACAAAAGGGCGCCCATGACACATTGGATAGCCAATGGAGTTCTCCATGAGTAATCATTTTCTATGAAAGAAAACCCATAATCCACCCAAATACTTGTAGAGTAACCAATAATGTTACCAGTAAATTCTAAGCACGCATAGAATCCTCTATCATCAGGTGGACTGATTTCAGATTGATAGCATGGAATGATAGTAGTCAAAAATCCAATTGCCACACCGCTTATAAACCTTCCTGCCCCTAAGTTTATAATATTGATTGACAATGTTTGGATAAGCCCCCCGACTATGAAGATAAACGATCCATAACGAATAGTGCGTCTTCTTCCGATATGATCACCAACCTTACCCGCAACGAACGACGATACCAAAGCACCAATCTCTAGGATGGCGATCATAGTACCAACCGCCGTTGGACTTGGGTTATTGTAATAGTCTTTGAAATATTTGTTGGTCAATAACGAAGACATCAACCCTTGTTCAAAACCAAACAAGAAGACACCTAGAGATACGAAAATCGACGTAAAATTAAGCAAGCTTCTTCCAACAAGGAAGCTTTCTTTTATCTGAATATTGTGATGCTGATTTGGATGAACGTTCATCTTGTCTATACATCAATTGAGTAAGTACTATTATCATTAAGTAAATCAAGTAGCAGATATTCAGATCCCTTTATAGTGATCCTTATGGACAATACACGACCGGGACCAAACAATATAACGACACCATGAAACATGGCATTAACGATCAACCAAAAGCTAATTATGATCGGTCTAGTCCATGTGATGTTGAATAGCAATTTAAAAGTCTATAGGAAATTCAGAGAGTCTTAAATATGTATCTACAATTTATACCGATCAGATAGGTTATTACTGCAAAATCTCGTTTCAGTGGTTACAACATAAAACTAAGATAAAAGTCCATCTAAATTGGAAAAGTATATATATATATATCACATTATTAATGGCACATATAACATTAAATAATAATATAATGAAGTTAATAAGATTATCGAATGTTGTTCAACCTGGCACTATTCATATGCACGTTAATATCTAATCTATCGGCATCTTCTTCAATCTGTCCTAATCTCTTATTTTGACTATCAACTTCATTACCCATAGTCTTCGCGGAGCTTTGTAATTTCTTGGAATACAATCCAATCTGGTCCAAATTGTTGGCCAACTCCTTTTCCATTTCGTCATCCTCACTATCATTTTCGAATTGGTACCTCTTGGCTGCCTCTAAATCTCTTTCACTTCTGTATTTTTGATGCACGTCGGAATTGGTGGCGTTTTGACTGATACCCTGTTTGATTCTTTGTTCACTTGCATACATTTCTTTACGGTTGGTATCTCTAAGGTATTTTTCTTGCGCCTTATCGGCCTTAATTTGCATTTCTTGTTGACGCAATCTGGATTTCTTATTGAAGGGATTACCATAGGCAGGCACAAATATCGACCTATTGTATCTCTTCAAGTCTTTAACCTTCTGATCGGCAATTTTACTCTGAGTATCTGCCAACAACAAGTTCAGCTCGGCATTGTACAATCTTTCTGATTGAGACCCCATCATTCCGAGGGTGTTAGTCGCTGACGCATCGGCTTCCTGGGCCATTCTCAAGGTATTTCTGGTCGAACCAACCGATTCCTGCTTGATGAATCTGATATCCTGTTTGATGGCCTCAACCTCTTCGTCCTCCGAGTCCACCTGTTCCTGCTCGGGCAATTCGTCCACATCAAGGTTCAAGTCTTCTTCTTCAGGCAAATCATTAAGATCCAACGTTTCATCGTCGCGCATCTGCGTTCTCTTTATCGGCTTGCCAGGCGTGTACGCCTGGTGTGAAGGAATCGCATTCAAATCCAACGACTCTTCGTCGTACGCCCGTGGACGTCTGGTGCTCTGTCTCGACGCACGAGCAGTCTCATTGCCATACGGATCCGCATATCCTGTCACTGCTGTGTTTATCGACTCTGTATCGTCTGCCAACGCACCATACGGATTCGGCTTCGAACCACTCGCTCTCGCTGGTGCCCGTGCCCCCCCATTGGGATTCGCCAGCGTGTTTCGACCTCCAGCCCTCTCGCCTCTCGAAGATGCACCCGCACTCCCATTTCCATACGGATTACTTGCTCTTTCACTCCTACTTCCATAAGGATTCGTCGTTGTGTCATACGGTGAGCTGTTATTACCACCACCTACTGCCCCACCATCACCATCACCACCAGCTTCTTGTTGCGCATAAGGGTTCCCATTACCATTACCACCATTCACATTCGCATACGGATTCACCGGCTGGAACCCTGGTCTAGCATTTTGTCTTTCTTGTGCATAGTTCTTAAATGCCCCAAACTTCTCTTGTCTTGTCTTATTATCTGACTTGGTAGTAACCCCAATGTGGGTTAATTCGTCTCGGATCTCCCCCTCTGTGGGATCCTTCTTCTTAAACATCTTTTTTATACCCATATTGATAACTTATACACTCTTCCCGCCGGATAATCTGTCAAATAGCACTATCATTTACCTGTTTATTCGTATAGACCATGATAAAAATCGCAAATATAGAACATCACGTGACCACCTTCAACCTGTCTCTGTGAACTGGTAAAAAGAAAAAAAATCTGACACAAGGGCTTGCAAAAAAAGGTCTGTACATTATTGAAATCTTGCTCCATCCCCTCGTAAGCGGTGAACGGCTCATTAACCAACACGAAAGAAAAAAGTGGCCACATATAATAATATTGGAGTATAAAAAACGGAAGTTGCATATATAAAAACCACATGGCAGTTCATTATTTAGAAGAGAGTTGTAGTACGACGGATATTAAGAAAAGAAAGATAGAAGGTAAAGAAGGTATAGACAAGATGTTCTTAAGTATAAAGAATGAAGGTTTCAGAGTTTCAGAGAACGGAACAGTGATCAACGGGCGTAATGGGCTCGTTACACCCTCGAAGAGTAACGATGAGAAGGTGCGCGAGATTTCGGGGTTCGGAGATGGGCCTGAGATGGACACCCGGGAAGACGAATGTCCATGTGGATATTTTCATGGGCCAGGTGAAAGTGGGCATCATGATATCAAGGCTGTTGGGTTTACTAGCCAGCCTTTACTTCGGGGACCTGATTAGGGGATCAGATAAGTTGGTAGGTTGAGTGTTGATAGTTGATACGGTAGGTTGAGTGTTGATGTTGATAAGTTGGTAGGTTGAGTGTTGATAGTTGATAGGTTGAGTAAGCCGATTATGCCGATAGGGGTCGGGATTAGGTGCTGTGAGATGATGAGATGATACAAGTAAAATTGCTACGAATAGCGTGGGGTATAGGGTAGGATATGACAGGTCATGAATAGGGGAATAGATATATAGAAAGAAGAATGCATTGTTGTTGTTATTTACCAGTTGGGTCTACAGAGCTGGGCGGATTTGTAGCATTTTGTATGTGGAGTGGATCCTCACCCGTGGATTGTTGCGGGGAGGAGTTTGTAAAACTTGTATGTAACTGTTTTGACTTTGGATGAAACATCGTTTCTAGAGAAGGGAGAAATATCGGAAAAGGTGTTTAACATTCTTGAGGATCGTCTTGGATAGTTTACTGCAAGCGGTCTTTGCTCCGTAATATACTTGGTACACTACATCTTTGGGGTTGGGTCGCAATTTTGCAGCCTTCGTATGACCTTAGTACCTCGACAACGATATAATATTAAGAGCATTAATATTATATCGTTTAATATTATACGGAATAGCCATTTTTCATCTAAAGTGAAGACTACTTTCATTTGAAACATGGCTAGGAAAAGAGCTAAGATTTTGATCTTTTAGCACAATATTCGTCAGATACCCTTATTTACACACACTCGTTGCTTGGGTGTATACACTCACAAAAATCCTAAGTAATTCCTATTGAAATGTGTTCAGCGTTTTAAGATAGTGATTTGTGTCATATACTATTTAGAGAGACCAAAAAACGTCTTGAGAGTTTGCTCCATATCTAAACGGAAAAAAAACTTCATCATCATTAGCACATTATATCAGGAACCAAATACTTCATAGAAGTTGATGGATCCCAATAAAGAAGTCGGATCTTCATGCATATACTCGTTTATATCAGACCATATGAAATTACTAAAGTCTACATCAGCAGGTTTAGGCACTTCTAAATTATTCAAATCCTCATTCTCTTCCAAATCAAATTGCACCTTCCAATCTGATTTGACTATTTTTATTCTATCATAATACACCTTTGCAACAGGAATAAATTCTGACATAGATTTCATTATTGAAACTCCCTTTCGACAGTTTATGTACGAAGTCTCTCTAATGTTAGTATTTGGCGAATGATAGTTAAAGAAGAAGCATACTGTACTGATATACAACCCATATGGTATCAGATGTAGCAAAGCACAATTTTTATAGTCGATCTTGTCAACTAATGTTATAATGTTGCAGCTCAGATTATATGATTGCAATTCATCATTCTGTTCTAATTTAGGATCGTAAGGCGTTTTTGTGAATGGCTTGCTGATTACCAACTGAGTGATATAATAAAAAAGCTCCATAATTAGTACCATTCTCATGTTTGGATGATCTGGGATATCGTTTTTAGACCTGCAGATCGAAGGTAATTCTTTAACCCACTTTGACAAATTAACGTTAGCATCTATATAGGCTAATTCTTGTCTCGCTTTATTCTTTCCTTTCAACATAAGCTGAAATCTCAACGAATAAATACTCTTAATTGCATTTGTTTGGATATCTAACAAAATGCAAAGTTCTCTTAGTATAAGCAATTCATCAGATGAGGACGAAATAGGTAAATGTGTAGAAATATCCTCTGAGTCTAAATAAGGGTCCATTCCTAGTATAGGAGATCGTGATCTGTCAACTATGAAGCAACACCAAAACACTTTTTGTCTTAATTCTTTTTCAGCTTTGGATATGGGCATATCATTAGTATACAAGTGTAAACCTAAATGGTTCGATAACGCAACAGCCATAGACATATAACATGATGACCTTACTTCAGTATTATCTGTCATCTCTAATAAAGATAATAGAACCAAAGCCTGAACTTGAGTAATATTAACGGAACTTAGTTCTTCCATTACTTGCTTTGCAGCCAAATCCTTATAATCGACATAATTGGGATCGTTCATCCTGGATAATGTAGTAGCTAGTATGGCGTTAATTAAAGAATTAGAGACAAACCTATTAAACTCCATTTCTTCATTTGCAATCGAAGAATCAAAAAGAGTTCTGTCTATCAAGGGTAGATCTTTATTTATATTTTGGAAGAACCAGTCAAAAAGTTTATGATCGTCCTCTGTTATGGCTTTTGCGGTATTCCAATGGCCTGGTTTTACAATCAACGGAGGAGAAGACATATGACGGTAAGAGGAAGGCCCATGAAAAGTGATTAATTTATGCTCGTCCATATCAAGTTTGAAAGCAGCATGATAATTCATCGCATTTTGACCATTTGCGTTAGGTGATTTCAACAACGCCGCTATGCTCGATTTATGATTAACTTTATTAAGATCTAACGTTTTGGAGCCTATGACGGAACTGAGAAACTCAATTTTTTCTAAGAGCGAGTCAACATATTTCTTATTAAGAGGCTTCCTTTTGTTTTCTATCTCGTAAGAACATTCAGATTTAGATTTAGAACAGTTTCCACAAGGTTGTAGCCCATTGCATTTTCTTCGCTTTGTTCTACATCTCTTACATGCAGCCTTAACTCTTCTTGTTTCCTTATGTGATCTGGATACACGATGTGTTACTGGATGTTGTAAATCTTGTGCCTTAGAATCTAATGAGCCATTATCCACTATTTCTAAATTTTTAGGAAATCTATCTGGTGGTGAATTGGACAGCATGTTGTTTGATTCACTCACTGTACTAACATGCAACCTAATATTGGCTTTCTTATAGAAAAGAGCTTAATATCTTTAAATCAAAGAAACAGTAGTCGGTATAAGAATCTTTTGATAGAGTAGCTAAATATGCGGGTAATGAGATTCCGCAAAAGCGAGATTTTTCTCCTCCGCTTTTTAAAGTTGACACCGGCTTTCTTTATACTACGCTTTAAAGTTAAGCTGCAAAAAGGTATAAATACAGCATGTACATTCTTATATCTTATAAAATTTAATTATTCTATTCTCTAAATATATAGAATTAGTCTTAATATAATGCGGTGCTCATTTGGAGATAACGAAAAACTTCAAGTAGAACATATTGCAAGTGTAATTTCTAGCCACCACCCTGCTGACAAAATAACTGAAGAATATGGTATAAACGAAAGTGATAGGGTAGGAGATGAAGACACCAGAATTAAGGCGTTATCAAGATCTGTTGGTCCTATGTTGGCAAGGCTTATTCCGGAAACTGGCCCATGGTACAAAAATAAGCATTTAATCAAGTTGAATGCAATATTATGTGTGACATGTCTAGCTGCGTCTACAGCTGGTTATGACTTTTCTTTAATTAATGGGTTACAGGCATTTCCTGAATGGCAGTTAGATTTGATGAAAAATCCAAAGTCTGAGTGGTTAGGATTTATTGTTATCACGTTAGCTATTGGGAGTATAGTTGGTAATATCGTTGGTCCTCAGATATCAGATAGGTGGGGTAGAAAAAAAGTAATATATACTGGCTTGGTCATGATAATTGGCGTTTCTTTAGGACAAGCTTTCTCTAATAATGATGTTGCGTTTATCGTTACCAGGGTCTTGATAGGATTCAGTGCTGCGCTCATGAGTCAAACTGTTGTCTTGGTTTCTGAGTTATCCTATCCCACATATAGACCTTTCTTTTCATGTTTCTACATGACAATGTACTATGTTGGCTCCTTTCTTGGTGCATGGGTATCCTATGGTTCCAGGAACTTAGGTGGCTGGTCGTGGAAGCTAGTTTGTCTAATGCAGATTTTATTTCCTATATTAATGGCTCCTGTTGTACTTTTTTATTTACCAGAATCTCCCCGTTGGTACGTATCAAAGGATAGAATAGATGAAGCAAGAGAAACCTTGATAAAATTCCATGGAGGTGGAGACCCAAGATATCTTCCTATGATTAACTTCGAATTAGAGGAGATGAGCAAACAAATTAATTTGACAAGGGGCTTATCTTTAGGGTGGTTATCAATGTTCAAAACTAAAGGAAATCGCTGGAGGTCTTTAATTACAATTACTTTAGGTATATTTCAACAATGGAACGGTGTTGGCGTTATATCGTACTACTTAGTCCAAGTTTTAACTTCAGTAGGCATTACTGATGTCACTAGTCAAACACTAATCAATGGTTTCTTGCAATTTTGGAATTTTCTTTGGGCAGCTTTTGCATCGTTTCAAGTTGATAGGTTTGGAAGAAGAGTTTTATTCTTGTGGTCAACCATAGGTATGTTATTAAGCTATGTAATTATAACTGGCTTAAGTGCAGCATATGCAGAATTAGGAAATGATCAAGCAGGGATAGCTGTTGTTGTTTTCTTATTCATTTACTATGCTCATTACGATATTGCTTTTACACCGTTAGTTACTTGCTACCCTGTCGAAATTTGGCCATTCGTCTACAGAGCTAAAGGGATTGCAATGCAACATGTTGCTAATTATGGCAGTTTGTTATTTAATCAGTTCGTTAATCCAATAGCCTTAGAGGCAATTGCTTGGAAATATTATTTTGTTTATATAGGAGTTTTAATTGTCATGTTCTTTGTTATATACTTCACCTATCCTGAAACTAAAGGGTTCAGTCTAGAAGAAGTTAATATGATATTTGACTCCAAGGATAATAATGAAGATGAATAAATGTTTATTTTAAATACATATCACCTTGCTGTTTCCATTTTATAATTTCAATATATTGTTTTCAACATTTATCTTACATCTCGAGTACGTTAACTATGGAAAAGTATTTTAATAAGTTTGAAATAAAGTCTCGTGTATTAAATCGTATTGTCCCCTCCATTTTAATATTTTATCTAATCATTACTACATTATAATATCACTTACCAATTCTTCATCAAGTACCTAATATTCGAATAAAATAATTAATACAAAAATGAATAGCAGGGAGTCCTGAACCAACGATATACAAACCTTGAAATCTATTGATTGGAACGGAGAGTGTTGCATATTTAGCACTCTGATTTCTTGCATGCGGCTTACAGGCCACATCTGTATATCTCCGCACTATTCATCAATATCGCGAAGTACACTAATAGCGGAACACCATTTAGCGCAAAGAAACAGCGCATAAATGCGAGGAGGTAAAAGAATACTTAACTGGCAAAACGGAATATACATTATTCTATAAAAGTCATATTTCCATAATTATATATAAATAAAGAATATAATTCATTTATTAGTTTTTTTATTTCCTATTCATCGTAAGACATTGCTCTAAATGACACAAGGTAAAATTATTAACATAGGTATAATTGGTGTAGGTGAAGTTAGTCAGGTTGTACATATACCAACGTTTGGTTATTTGTCTGATAAGTTCAAAATCACCTACCTTTCAGATTCTTCTGAAGATGCTCTTGAATTTGCTATGAAGAGAGTCAACGGGTTCAGCTCTGGTGATGTGAAAACCACTCAAGATTCATTAGAGTTGATTTCATCCAAAGATGTTGACATTGTGTTAATAGCTACACCAGATGAATATCATGTTCCTTTGGCAATTGAGGCATTGAAGAGAGACAAATTCGTTCTTGTAGAGAAACCAGTTGCTTTGACGGATTATCAAGCAACATGTCTTCTTGAAGCTGAAAGAGAGTCTAAGGGTAAAGTTTTTATTGGTTACATGCGAAGATATGCACCAGCATTTGATCTAGCTATGGAGGAAATTAGAGGTATCAAAAATATCAAGTTTGCTAGAGCGCGTGATATTATTGGTCCAAACGTAAATTTCGTGAATGAATCTGGTACATTTCCTAAAAGTTTCAAAGACTACTCGCAAGAAAGTGTAGACGATAAAAATGAGAGGGGACGGCTTCTTGTTACCGAGGCATTGGAAAGAGATATCGGTCTCAAAGAATATGATCAAGCTGAAAAAAGAGGATGGAGGCTTTTAGGTGGGCTTGGGTCCCATGATATTTCCCTTTTGAGAGAAGCTTTGGGTTCTCCAATTGGTTATATAGGTGCCAAAATTAATCCACCATTTGTGAATGCCTTATTAGACTATGGTGATTTTGCTGTATCCTATGAAACTGGTATTCATCAAGTCTCCGAGTTTGATGCCCATTTAGAAGTTTACGGTGAAAACAAAATTGTGAAAGTTCAATATAACACTCCATATGTTAAAGGCTTACCAATCACTCTTGAGATCAGGGAAAACATTGATGGTCAATTTTTCACTAAAGTTATCAGACCTACATTTGAAGATCCATATACTATTCAAGCAAATAAGCTTTATAGAGTTTTCACTCAAGGCGAAGACTTCAAGACAACAGCAAATGATGCTGTGCTTGATTTGGAAATTTTCAAAGGTATCATTAAAGCTTCTAATGATTATAAATTTAAATAGTTTTCTTGAATCAACTTGTTTACTGGGACGTAATATGCAGCATGCGAATTTTTCGCAACCAAAATCTCTGAACTAGTGATCACAAATACAACGTTTTGAAACTTCATTTCAACTGTAGTAACTTTCACAGATTCATCTTAAACCATCTTATCATCTTACACCAAAAATTCTTGCTCTATTGATAAATAGATGAAATAAAATTTAAGGGATGTTAGCTCTATAACGAAAATGTTCATAAAGATAAGATAATATTCTATATATCAGATTCTTCATACCGCAAGCCAAGCATTTATGAATGCTGATAATGAAAAGGCGTAGACCCTAAAACAAGAGGTAGGGTGGATGAAGAAGAGATTAAGAGCTATTGACGACATCCGTAAAAAATGATTAAAATATTTCTAGTGTCACTATTAAACTGAAATCGCAACCACAATTGTCTTGTCTTGTAATATATGTATGTATATATAAAGTATAATAAATGTTCTACAGTAAGTCATAGAGATAGATTTCTGTTAAACAGAATTGAAACAGATTGAGGATGTTGCTTCATAAAATTATTACAACACATCCTGGGGATATGAGACTCCTCCTTGTTTGCGCATATCATCCATAGTTTCCAAAACCAAAATAGATTCGTCCCATGGGATTAATTCATTCTCGATTTTACCCATTTCAATGTCAAGCGCAATAGCGTCCGCTTCGTAGTGAAAACCCAAGCCATGAATCCCCTTGATAGGAAAGCTTTTTTGAATAGGTTCTTTCTCATTATCTTTGAACTCAATTTTGTAGCTTGTAGGAATAGAGCCGGATCCACTGATTAGGAGACACCCTAATTCACCTTCAAGTCTAAAAAAAGTTTCTGGCGTCTGATTATAGACAGAATTAGTAATTATGGCCTGCTTCCCGTTAGAGTAACTAATTATAGCACTTGTCATGTAATCAATACCATTCTTAACAGTCTGAAAACACTTGACTTCGAATGGTGTATGATTTTCACCTAATTGGTTATCCAAAAAGAGCCTAGCGTAAGTTAGAGAGTAGATTCCAATATCTAGCAAAGCACCAGCACCTAAAGAGTTAGACTTTAACCTAGAATTATCACTCAAAGAATCCAATTTCATGTCCATGGAGAAATCGGAAAACAAGCGATATATTTCCCCCAAAATTTTATCTTTCAATATGAGCTGTTGCAATTCCAAAATTATTGGTCTAAATCTTAACCAAACACCTTCCATAAGGAAAACATTGTGCCACTTAGCAGCTAATACCAATTCTTTAAGTTCTTCAGCATTAACACCTGCTGGCTTTTCTAGCAAAACATGTTTCCCTTGTTCAATGGCTTTTAAAGCGCTTTCCTTATGAAAAACATGTGGCAAACCTATATAAACAATATCTACTTCATTATGTGAATAGATATCGTTGTACGTACCTATATAAGTGCCCTTGTTGAGTTTTTTATTGTACTTTGCCAAAAATGATTGACCTTTTTCTTTCGATGATGCGCCGATAGCTTGGATAACATGATTTGCTTTCCTATCCTTTCTTTCTAATAAAATATCATCAACGAACCATGTGCTAATAAAACCTGTACCAATAATGCCCCATCTTAATGTTGGAATTGAACTCATTATTTTTGTATCTGCAACTATTCAGAAACTATAATCTTAGTCTATTTTAATTTGTCAGGTAAAAAAAACCCCCATGATTAAACTGATTTTGGATATATATATGAGTATTTAGGCGACTGTTCATATAATAAGGATGTGCGGCAAAAGCATATCCGACTGGAACCATTCTTTGTTCAATAGTCAGACAGTTCTATGCGGTAAATGCTAATCCGCAATTTTCACGCTCCCAAAATAGTTGACATAAATGAGGTAATATTAAGTGAAGCTGGTGATAATGATGATGACGAGAACCGCGATACACCAGAGTCTTTGGGAAGATGGGGAAGTTTCCAGAAACTACTGTATTTCTCCAAACGGATGATCAATTGACAAATGAAACGACTTGCAGTTTGATTCTGCTAAAGATTCCAATATGCGATCCTTCCATTTCTAATATAAGTTTGTATAGTAGACCAGCCCCTAAGGGCTATCTATCTCATTAAATAAAAAGCACTGGCAAGGACCATCATGCTTTTAGGTAATTCAATGATTGAGCCATTGAAAATTTCAAGCACTTTAACCAAAATATTGGTTGCAATTTTTAAAGCCTTCAAAATTTCATGTCCTCACTTTGTTTCTGAAAAAAAAAGCCTACCGTTATATATCTAGTGTGTCGTTATGCAGCAAATAAAAATGATTGGCTAATAACTCTTTTTATAAAAGGAGGATTACTAAACTATCGGAATCTGTTAATAATAAGAAAGAGGAGAATATTATTGAAATCACCCGCTTCATTGAAGTGATTAATAGACACAATCTCGTTTCGCAATGGAAGAATATTCATCCCTTGCTAAAGCTCTTCAAGACTTTTCCAAAAAATCCTCATTCATCTAATTTGCAGCTATTTGAAATGATAGTAGTAGAAAGCTCAGCTTTATGAAAAAAAGTCTGATAATAAGTGTTTCTTCAATCTTGTCATAGATTTTGCTTAGTTTCCATCTTTCCTTCCTTGATACAATGAGCAGACGATTCGTTTAATAGCTTCCTACATTAATATCAATGAAAAAGCACTTCAATGCCCACAGGTTATCTTTGATTCATGTTGTACTTCTTTATCTTTATATAATTGGAGGCCAAAGTGAAATCGTACCCACGTAAAGGAAATATAATAACTCTCTATAACTACGATATAGCGAGTATCCTACTTCAGAAATTCTGCTGACGCGAAATTCAATGATTTGAGGCCTCAAAGACATGCCCATGCATAATCATTAAACTAACGTGGTAGCCATCGGTATCATAAGCAAATGAATATTTTACAAAATATGAACGTACAACCCTACCGAATGAAATATTCTTTTAAATATATTACGCAATATAAAAATGTACATACAGACATGCCAGATTAACAAAAATAATTAAGATATAAAAAGGGAGAAAGAAGGAAAGATATTGGATGGCCCATGTTAACGGACATTTTTCTAATTTAATAAATTTACAGGAATTTATCAGTTAGCTTTGACACTGATTATGATTTTTTCTTGTTTCGATCTACTTTACATCAAGGATTGGCCCTTCATCTAGCCATAGATCCACAGCTCTTAATTCATGAAATAAAATGCTTATTCTAAAGTTGAAATTTCCTTAACAACTTCGTCAAATCCTTCTCTATATTCATCAGTCTTGCTAGCATTCTTACTCGACTTACCACCGCCTGGAACAACCATGACACACGATGTTGGTCTCTTAGTAGCACCTGCAGATCCTAAGTCCTCTTTCGATGGAATGAACACAAATGGCACCGAAGTATCTTCACATAAAACTGGGATGTGTGAAATGACGTCTGGTGGTGAAATATCACCAGCAATGACAACTAATCCCTTTTCACCCTTTCTCAATGCTTTGACGACTTCCTTAACACCTCTCTTGACATGCTTGGCCTTAGATGCCTTCTTAACGGTCTTTAAGACTTTCTTATTTAATTTCTTTGATGCTAATGGTTTAGCGAATGGCAAAACTGCCGACATTCTCTTTTCGTAGTTATCTTCAGCGTCTTCTGATTTAGAAACCTTTTCCTTCTTAGCCATCTTTTCCTATTTCTTTATTACTTGTATAATAATTACTTCACCCTATGTGCTTAGCTTTTCAGTATAAAAAAATTTCATCAAGCGATGCCATAGTAAAAGTAAATTACACAAAATACCAAAAATGAAAAACTCTGGTTCTTGGACGACCAGCCTATCTATATCTATACTAATAGATTAATGGCTTACAGCTGGACAATATTACGAGAATGGCACCTCCAGATACTAAACAGCCGTATAAGGCATCTTCTTTGAGAAAAAGGAGACGGAATTTCTCTCCTTCGACTACTTCATATTCAAATGACGGGTTGCTAGCACTAGAAGATCCAAAGCCGAAGAGCCAGTCTACAACTAGAACCGCTGGACAGGATAACATCCCAGACGACAATAAAGTGGTGAATAGCTTGAATAAATTGGGTACTAAAGTCTCAGTAAGTGAGAAGCAGAAACAATTGAATATTAAACTCTTAGTATGCACGTCAGAGGCAGAATATTTTGAATCTATAGAAGACGACATAGGCAAATATTTGAAAGAAAGCTTTGGAATAAGTGGCATAGCACTATCAAAACCGGTAGAGGGGGTTATAGACCGAATTTTTTTTATATATGGGGATATTATTTCGATATCAAGAGCAGTGGTATACGTTGCGTTCGTGTTGAATGCAAGATTGAACAATTTGATTCCGAGTGAATCATACACGTTGAAGTCACCAAATTATAAAATAAACGTGCTTCTCCAAGGGTCGTACAACGACGCAGAACTGTACTCGGGCATAAATAAGGTGGCTGATAATTGTGGATTAAGAGAATTCGACATATCGAGTCCTTTCAACTATAACAATAACCCTCGCTTGATATCAATACGATTAAAAGGTGACTTCAGTGCTTTATTTAATTTCTTAGTGTTAACTATAGATGCATCTTTATCTTCAGCTCAGACAAGAATTGATTATAATGACCATTCTAAAATCAATCAGTCGAGGACCGTTAATATATTTGATAATGCTGGCTTGTTCCAAGTACAAGATGTTAACAAGGGAGTCTTAGATAAACATGTAAATAATGTTCTAGAATACGTCTATTCTAAATCGTTTCTTAAGCCTTCGTCAGATGTAGGAAGCGAATAATTATATATAATGTACGGAATCATACTTAAACTTTTTTTTAATTAAGAACTATGAAACAATAAAACAATATAAAATATATAGTCACAATTAAGAAGCTCGTTCAAACACGAGTAATGTTAGTCTTTTGGGCTTTACGCGAAATAGAAGCCACTCTATCACCCAATGATAATGCTAAACCTTGACCCTTCGATCTGATTCTAACATGACCAATGATTGGTCCATCACTCTGTTTTTCAATACACAAGTTAGCTAATGCATCTTCACCGAATGATGAGCGAGAATATAAATTGGCTGACAAGAATTGACATTCTTCGCCAATAATGGCACCCGGGGTTAAACAGTTCATATTTGTACCCTTCATCATTTCTTCCAAGTAATCCTTTAACGAATCCATTTGTGCTTTGATGGTTATCTTATTCTCCCATTCAAATTCATTCCACATTTTACGGAAAGTACTTTCAGTACAAGTTGCAGGCTTAATATAATCCATAATATCAACATGAACATCATTCAAGATGACTATAGTTGAGTCGTCTGAGTGTTGACCATCGTACACAATGTTCCCAAAAATAACACCAGTATCTGCTGATGTAACTTTGATTGTTGTTTGGATCTTGTGGAATCCATGTGGCCCAATATTAGCGGTTGCAGGCTTATCAACAACTTTCAAATCACCTAAAGTAGCAAATTCAACAGATAAATTACGCAAAGTGTTAGTTGTTTGATTAACTAATAAGACATCTAAAACAACGTCATATTGGTGGACCTTAACAAATGCTTCTGCATATATAGGGTCCGAAAAACCGGTTAACTGTAAGATTTTGTTTAATCTGGAGGATAAATCTTCTTTCTTCAAATCACTACCAGCAGCCAAAGAAAGATCATCCAAGTTAGAAGTACGTGCTGTGCTATCTTTATCAAATTGTCTAAAAACAATAGAATCATCGACTTGTTCAGCATTCTCATGGAAATCCTTAGCTTCAGCTTCAGCCTTTTTAAGTTCAGCCGTTTCTATTTGAGATTTAAATGCATCCTTAGTATCATCTAAGAAACTAGTCTGTATTAATTGACTTTCTGTTTCATCAGTCAAGTATTTTACACATGAGAAAATTCTGTCAGCAGAATCTTCATCAATCTTCTTTTCAACATAAGATGATTCACCGACTCTTAAAATAGAAACCATGATCAAGATAGCTTCTGCTTTTAATGCATTTAAGTATTTTTCTTGAGTTGCATTACGTTGTAACCTTAATACTAATTTAACTAAGGTAGAGGCCAAAACGGAACCCAAGTAGAAATCACCCTCTAAAATGAGTTTACGAATAGGTGGCTTTTCTTCATCTGCTGAAGTTTTGATTTCTGTAGTCAAAGCATTTTCAGTAGCGTACGTACCATCAGGTAAAACAACTGGTCTTTTCTTAGGCTTTTTGACAGATCCATTTGTTTCATCTTCATCATTATGCTCACTTCCTTCAGTTGACTTCTTTTCACTAGCTAATATTGGAACTTCACCAATGCTAGATCTGATATATCTCCAAGCTTCTTGGACTAATTTGTCTTCCATACAATATTCACCAATGATCCATAATGAACCACGGAATACTTTACCGCTTTTGACAGACGGTAAGGCTTCGATCAACCTACTCAATATAGATTGTCTCAAATCTGGGAATTTTTCGACAACTTCTTTAATGAAAGTTATGACCTCATAAGCTGCAGCCGTACTCAAGTCACTCATGGATTCTAATAATAAGTCAATGACATTTGCTGCAACTTCAACGAATCTAATAGCCAATTGATGAATAGCATTAATTAATAGTTGTCTATATTCTGAATTTTTATCATCATTGGAAGATGAAGTTCTTTGTAATTCTTTCTTCAATAATTTAACAACTTCTTCAACATTCCTACTGGTAATAAATTGCAATGTGACATCAATAGCCTTTTTACGAACATCCAAATCTTGAGAAGATAAGATACGTAAAATTTCTAAAGACAAATCCTGTAAGACACTAGGATGAAGCTTATGGAGTTCTTTAATTCTCTCTAAGGTAATAATTTTAACGTTATTATCAGCCTCTTTAGTTGCTAATTCAACGAATTTGCTACCTGCTAAGTATATTAATTGTGAGCTGGAAGATAATACAGTTAAGGTTGTAGCAGCTTCGTAAGTAACGACATTGGACGAAGTACTTTCAATTACTTCAGTCACTAATTGAGCATACTGCAGCTTTAAAGAAGGATTTTGAATAGAATCTTGTCTAATGAATTCAATAAATGCTAATTGCAACAATGGGTCTAATGTTTCAATAAGTGTGACATTGTCTTGAATGTACTGTAATGCTGCTTCTCTATTAAGATCACCTAAACAGACGAATGCATTTCTTTTACAAACAGCATCAGATTCTTCATATAAGAACCTGTAAATTAATTCATCAGCATCTGGAGCTAAGTGATCTGAAACTTTATGGATTGAATAAAGGGCAAAAACAGCGTTTTTTCTCACGTACGCATGACGGTGTTCAAGACATTGGCGGACGTTGGGCACCAATGTTTCCAACAAATCAGCTTCTTTTAATTTGCACAAGAATCTTAAAGTATTACCTCTGATAAACTCATTTGGATGCTGTAAATCACGTTGAATGGAGTTACAGACAAGAATCATTTCTTGTCTCATTTTTCCACTATCATCCAACTTTGGACAAACTTCCCAATAAAAATATAGCAACTTCTTCAATTCCTTGTTTCTAGAAGGCATCACAAATCTAATGATGTGCATCAATAAATCTGGCAATGGATCCCCATTGAGCATCGTGATTAAAATACGTTTCATGGTGCTGATCTTTACATCATCTTTGCTCTTTTCCAATAATGTTTTGAACTCATTAACGGATGTTTTAGCAGCCGTATTAGGCTCATAAATCAAAGTGTATCCTATATCAGCCATTTTAATTCTATTAGAAGTCTATGTTAGTTATCTCTTAATCAAAATATTCTATGTTGATCGATTCGACAGGGTGTCACCACTACTTTCTGAATATGACAAATTTAATCCGAAATTCGATTTTTTACTTTCAATTAATCAAAACTTACTAATATATAGCTATTGAGCGTAAATAACAACTATAAATAACCAAAAGGATCAGTGCTTCGAGATTTTAGTTGTGCTAAACAGTGTTAGTACGACGTGTTGAATTTTTGGATGTAGATCAAATATTTGAACACATGCACGACCATATATATATGAATAATTTATATTATACACTAGATAGTGTCTATTTAATCGCTACTATCAGAGTTATCAGGGTTAGCAAGTACTAATCTTGGTTTGGTATCATAATCATTATAATCGTTATTTCTGTTTCTTCCTCTTTCGCCCATCAAATCTGTCTCAAATTCAGTTGATGTTTCTTCGTCATCATCATTACGCAAATAACCTGGATGCTGATAATAACCACCAATTCCAATATTAAAATCGGTTATACTATTAGACGATGAAGATCTAGAAGGAGAGGAAGAAGAAACAGACTCGGCTTTTCTTGAACTAGGTAATGTAGATGAAGAATCACCGCCTGTATTAATACTCTGCGAGTCGTCGAGAGTTTTTCCATACGAGTTGTTTCTCAATAGAGACCCGCTAGGCGTAACGTTGATACTTGAATCGGAAGACTTGACTCCGCTAACCGATGACTTATTTGTGCCAATGGTAAGATCAGTACCTGACCTGCCTAATGATTGCAAACCAACCGGGCTCTCATCGCCATCATCAACTTCAGCAGCCAACAACCTAGGCTGTAAATGTCCATGTTTCAATTCGACGCCACTAGTTTTTTTGTTTCTACCTTGGATTCCTCCAGCGAGTCTCAAATACCGGCCATTGGCAGTATATCCAACTCTATTGTCGACAGGTAAGATACCTATAGGTAATTTCCATTTTCCTGGCGGAGATTCATTAAATGCTGTACCAGCATTTCGGCGGATAGACATAACATAGTTTGATCTCTCACCTTCACCAGGTTTTAGGTCTAACGATTTCTTAAGCTTTGACATATTAACACTTCTGTATGAGTTTGCACTCCAAATAGAGCTTACAGAACTAGATTTTCTATGATGGGAAGCATTTGGTCGGGTAGTAGGTTTCGATCTTGAATTCGAATCGTGTGATCCCGACTCTATCGGCACTGGGGTAAATGGATTACGATTTTGCTGCATACCTCTAATAAATGAGGTGTTCTGAGGTGTTCTTGCGGAGGGTGTAGTATTTATTGTATAATTCAGTGATGTTGCTGTCTGATGCTCCTTTTTTCTTTGCGATGGGATACTTTGGCTTGACCCAAATGTATCAAGACTCTTCAGCTGTGAGTAGGGCTCGGCATCACCTTGTGAATGTACCGACGAATTAATGGATGTTCTTGAGTCATTTGAAACGATATGTGGATAGCCTGAATCCAGCGTCAGGTTTAGACCGGATGCATTGCCTTCAAACGTGGGACTCTCTGGTAATGAATCAATAGGATATGGGGTTTGGTCATGGTCAAGTTCATGTTTGTATTCGGGCGTATCGCTAGGCGTGAAGCTTGGTGTTGAAGTATCTTCCAATGATTCTTTACGCGTATCTGACACACTTTGCGATATAGAGGATGATTTGTCAGACTCAATTAAAGACGAAGGACAGTCTGAATAGTATGACGCCCCAGATTGATTGGATTTTGATAGATTTAACGGGTTTGAGACATGGAGGCCCGAAATTATTGATGCCTGATCGTCATCATTATGTAAATAATCGTCTTGGTACATGTGTGTCGTTGGCTCATTCGCTACCAACATGCCGCCGATTTCTTTCTCCAACGTACCTATAATATTATTCAAATCTTCTTTCACATCTTCCCCATACTTATTCGCCGACCCCATCGATCTTTGATTGGCAGACGGGTCTAACACTCGATTATTGAATGGCTCTACCGCTCGGTGATTCACAGACGGGTCTAACACTCGATTATTGAACGGCTCCACCTCTCGGTCATTGTCAGATCTATGCTCGAATTCATCCATCAATGGTGGAGGAGGTTTACGTCTCGGTGGACTTTTGATTGGAACCTGTGGCACAGGTGGTGCAAGAGACTGAGGCGGAACATGTCCTGATGGTACTGGTTTATTAGGATCTAGCGTTTCTCTGCCAGTATTATTGTGCAAAGGTGGTTGTGATAATGGCTTTACTGGTACACTTCTCAGCGTCGAACTTCCATTATTATCATTATGTCCATGTCTAACGTTGTGTCCTTGCTGCACATTGAAGATAGACGAGATACGGGTCCCAAATAGCTTGGATGATCGCTTATCCTTATCACTTGACATATTTATTGGTCAACAAGATATTCACACCGACAATTCAATTGTGCACTCTGCATTAAACACTTAAAATTTATAATTTGAATGATTCGTTGTCTTTATTGATGCGTCTGAAGTACCTTTAATCTAGACGCTTACAGTAAATCCTTGTTATTCCTATGTTACAGTAGATCTAAGTGAAGAAGAATATAAAAAGTCCAGTTCTTCTAGACTTGAGAAGCCTTGATGTATATACAGGAGGAATGTCAGTAGTGAAATTTTCATCGAGCTTATGGGCTAATCCTTGAATCATTGATTCCTTATATCGAAAGATCAAATATGTCTACTACTAGTATGTATAATAGGTCAATTGGACCGTATGGTTACGGCGAGACAATTACTAACATTTTTATTTAGCTACAACTCCTGATTATACTGTCGCTAACTCAGACGTTGTGTCTAAGTATAAGACCGCCGGTGAAATTTCTAACAGAGTTTTAGCGCAAGTTAGAGCGTTGATTAAAGATGGAAGCAAGATCTTCGATCTTTGTAATAAAGGTGATGAATTGATGACCGAAGAGTTGTCAAAGATTTATAATTCCAAGAAAACGTCGAAGATTGCTAAGGGGATCGCATTTCCAACATGTATTAATCCAAATCACATTCCAGCGCATTTCGCGCCAGTGAGCGAAGATGACGAAGCGAACTTGACATTGGCTAAGGGGGACGTTGTCAATATCATGTTGGGTATTCAGATTGATGGATTTCCATCAATTGTGGCCGAATCGATGGTTGTTGGAGAAAGCAAGGAAGAGCCAGTTACCGGAGGCAAGGCCGACTTGATGTACGCAGCTTGGAAAGCATCTGAAGCAGCAATTAGAACCTTCCAACCAAAGAACAGAAACTGGGATGTTACCAACATTGTGGATAAAGTTGCCAAGTCGTATGATTGTATTGCCGTTGAAAGTATGTTGTCGCATAACCAAGAAAGAAACGTCTTATATGGACCAAAGGAAATCATTCTTAACCCAACTAAGGAAAACAAGAACCAAATGGATACCTTCAAGTTCGAAGAAAATGAAGTTTATGGGTTAGATATCTTAGTTTCTACGTCTCCAGAGGGTAAAGTTAAACAATCAAACTACAAGACTTCTTTATTCAAATTAACTGGTAGTTCGTATGCCTTAAAGATGAAATCATCCCATCAAGTTTTGGGTGAATTCAAAGAAAAGTGTTCTGGTCCTTTCCCTTTTAACATTAAGAACTTAGAAGATATCAGAAAGGCAAGAATGGGTTTGATCGAGTGTGTCAACCATCAAGTTATGTTGTCCTACGACATCATGACTGAGAAGGAAGGTGAATACGTTGCTCAATATTTCACTACTTTTGCTATTACTAAGAATGGTATTGTTAAGTTCACATCTCCAACTTTTGACCCTGAATTATACAAAACTGAAAAGGAAATCAAAGATGAAGAAATCACAACATTGATTTCCCAACCTTTGAAGGCTACCGCAAAAAAGAAGAAGAGCAAGAAGACTGCTGTTGATGGAGCCCCATCCGCATAAGTGATCAATTGAATTTCCATGTCAAAATTTCAATCAAGCTAGAAAACTAGAATGGAAGCTAAACTATCTACGGTATATGGCTTGAACATCTAGTATATATAGTTAAACTTGTTTTATATAATGATTTAGTTAGTATAACGTGAGGAAATAATATTGAAAATGTGTTGGAGCGCGTTCAACAATCTGACTTCAGCATGTAATATTAGCTCTCTTTCAGTTAGTAGGAAATTAATTTAGTACAGTTGCTTGATTAAATGTCGCAGCTACCTATAGACCTGTTCTTTGAAGGGTCATCGGCTTCATCGTCGTCTGAACAATTATCGACATTAAACAGAATAAGTTCAACCAATGAGAATGCATCCAACAGTGAAATGCCAGTAATGAATGCTATCCAAGTACCAGACTTAGGACCAGACAGCACAGATTCGACAATTCAAATAAATAATTTCTTGGAATCAAGAGATGCATCCAATCTGGTTTCATCTTCTGGAGACAATGATTCCAGTACGGTCGTTGAGAACAGTGATTCCAATTCCAAGCCAAAATCCAAGATAAAAAGGAAGTCGCCTAGATTAGGGCTGAAAAGTAACAATAGCTCGACAAATTCAATGATTTTAGAGAGTAGCCCAGTGATTATCGAAGCTAAGGGAACGGAAGAACCATCAGATAATGGTCCTCATGGGGTAGTACAGAGAGGAGGAGAAAAAGTTTTCATAGAACCCAAATTGGCAGAACCACATCCAGCGTATACTGGATTGCCGTTAGAATCGTTTCCGAATACTAAGATAAAGAAAGAATCGTTATGGTCAACCAGAGGTTTATCAAGGAAATCAAATAGAATGAACGGCACTAATAATAATAACAGTAGTGTTTCAAGAGAATCATCAGCACCAGCTCAGGCAAACGAAACAGAAAATGATAACGAATCTATTGAATTAGATTATAAAGCAAATCTTCAAACAAGCATAGCAGAAGAAATAGCCGTAGAGAGTGATATAAGGCCACCACCAAAGCGAGGAAGACCAAGTAAAAAGAGGGGTAGACCAAAGGCAGACGCTAATAAAAATATCACGAAAACTCCAAAGCAAACAAAGGTTAAGAATAACAACGAACCTCTGCTGTTAAGGTCATCGAAGAGGATCAAAGTTATTTCTCCTAAAAAGACAACAAGTACAAACCTCGCCCCTTCATCAGTGACGGATAGTGGCATTAATAATTACTCAAATGATGATCCTACTAAGAATAATGATGACTTTTGTACAACTTGTGGTGGTCCAGGGGTATTTATTTGTTGCGATACGTGCCCAAAGTCCTTTCATTTTACATGTTGTAATCCACCACTTGAAGAATGTCCCGAAGATAACTGGCATTGTCAAGAATGTGTAATCAAACAAAACCCGGGATTCAAGAAAACATATAATCATATTGGAATATTTGGTCAATTATTAAACCAACTGGAAGGTAGAAACCCAAAGGAATTTCAGTTACCTAGAAAAATACGAGATAACTCATTTATTGGTGTTACTACGGGCGAAAATGGAGTTTATCAGGATGCTACTTTTAAACCAGAAATATCGTATACTAAAATGAACGAATATCAAATAATTGGGTTCAATAAGAATACTGATCTTGATGTTGATGGATTGTACGACAAGAATGGAAATCCGTACTTATGTCATAAATGTGGATTATCAGGGTTAAAAGGGAAAACCTTGACTCATTGTGATTATTGTCCATTAGTTTGGCACATAGATTGTCTTGAAGACCCATTGTGCATTCCGAAGACTTTGGGTAGTAAATGGAGATGTCCAAATCATTTTGAAGAATTATTACCTGAAGGTCTCTTCAGTAGGAGAAAATTCAAGGATATGTCAGTGCTTGATATATCGTTGCATAACCATTTTTTGAAGATTGCCTCTATGAATAATATAATTATCAAACATAATGATCAACAATTTTTGAAAGAGGATATAGACAAAAGTGTTCCGTTACATGAATACATACAATACGAGACAGAGGACTTTTCAAGGCTGTATATTAATGAACAGAAAAATGACGAATCTACGGAATCTAGTAATACTAATAATAGTGATGAGATACATCCAAATTTCAAAATACCTGAATTTTTTCAGAATTATGCAACTCCAATAGGAAGTACAGCTAGAGCTTCAAAAAGACTAAATAGAATAATGACTATGACAAACACAGATAATGACGGAAGCGAAGCCCGTGCATTTATTTATAGGGTCCCAGAAAAGCTGATATTGCTTAATTTTATTTCTAAAGTGTCCAAAAATGAAGACACTAATGCCTTACAACATGAGAAAGTCTCAACAGATAAGAGAACTATACTTGAGACGATTGATGATTATGAGACCAGAGGTAGGCTAGAAGAGTCCAATCAAGATGAAAGGGATATAGTTGACAGCTTGATCCACATTAAGTCTGAAATTAACCAAAAGAAACCTAAAACCAAATTCAGTGACCTAGTGGCAGCAGCATTAGAATCCGTACGATATTCCAACAACGAGGCACCAACAAAGCTAAATGACGAAGAGGTTTCAGACTTATTAGACATCAAGAGACTCGTGGAATTGAAAGGAAAAGACGAATTATTAAAGTTTCTACAGTCATAATTGCATCGATCTTCTTTGCATTAATGATAGATTCATTTATATACATAGGTATTTAATTACTTTATTAATAAATACACAACTAATGAAATTTTAACTCTTCAAAAACAGAATATATATACATGTGATTTCGTTGAATCATTTAAATGAAGTTATCTTGTTGTGGAGTAGCGATAACTGGGATTTCCTTCTCTGCGACTGGGGATGCTTCGGTGACTTTTATAACTTCCGCAAGTATATCACTCACTTGTCTATCAGCACAATCTATTTCGTACTTTTTATCGGCATTATCGTATACAACGATCTTTGATGGGCATTTGGAAATGTCTTCCTTTGTACTAGTGTTGATCCTAGTAAGGACAAAATTGACATCTTCGTTGTGAAATTTTAATGTTGGCAAATTATTTCTCCAGAACTTTTTCAATCCAATAGCTGATCCTGAAACGTTGTGTTTTATCAAGAATAATTCAAGTTTGGTGTACTTAGGGTTGAATTTGAATGCGGTTTCTGGCGTACCTGCAATGTTATTTAACCTAGTGATCTGTTTCAATATTCTCGAAGATGGCAAATTCTTGAACATAGCACAATTAGAAGTCTTACTCATCTTTATTGTTTTTATTTTACTTTTGTCTTGTCTAAGGTGTTCCTTATGTATAAATCTCTAAAGAAGTTCTGGTACCGAAGTGAAAAAAAAAATCAAATGTTTGCACGAACACGACTCCAACCATTTATGAGTAACTTGCAGCTTGATGGACAGAATCAAAGATAAGAAATTAGTCACAGTGGAAAAAACATATTAAAGTTCGATTGGAAGATAAATATGCAATTAAATGGTATAGGAAAACATTCGATTCGGTTTTTGTCTGATAAGACTTCGAGGTTTGTTCCAAAAGGTGGAGTTTATCCAAAAGGATTTATGGTTGGGGGAATTCATTGTGGTGTTAAAAAGGACGGTAAATCATTGGATTTGGCAATTTTGACGAATACACACGGAAAGTCAGCTGTAGCATCGGCGGTATTTACTACTAATAAATTCAAAGCAGCACCTGTGCAAGTTTCGTCTAAGATTGTTAAAGAGAAAAAGGGAGAAGAGATCAATTCATTGGTGGTCAACAGTGGGAATGCTAATGCGGTCACAGGAAGCCAAGGTATGAAGGATGCGCAAGATATGATCACGGTTACGGATTCTGCATTAGGAAATCCAACAAATTCATCGTTGGTAATGTCTACTGGTGTGATTGGGAACAATTTACCTATCAGTAAGATTTTATCTGGAATTCCCCAATTAGCTGGTGGGAATTTGGGTAATACTCATGAACATTGGTTGAATTGTGCACAAGCAATATGTACGACCGATACTTTTCCAAAGTTGGTCAGTAAACTGTTTGAGCTTAACGGTCATACGTACACCTTGGCTGGATTGGCGAAGGGAGCTGGAATGATTTGTCCAAATATGGCCACATTATTAGGTTTTTTTGTAACTGATGCTCCGGTTTCTGCATCAGCTTTGGATCAGATTTTGAAGTTTTCTACGGACAGATCGTTCAATAGCATTTCAGTCGACGGCGATATGTCTACTAATGACACAATTGTTGCCATAGCCAATGGTGCCGCCGGGGGAGAGCTCATTGACAATACGTCTTCTAGTGCCGAATCCTTTGGAATATTGCAGCGTGAAATCACTGGTTTTGCTCAACAATTAGCACAATTGGTTGTTCGTGATGGGGAGGGTGCTACCAAATTCATCACCATCAGTGTGAAAAATGCGTTGTCCTACGGCGATGCCAAGACTATTGCATCATCTATAGCCAACTCATCATTATTCAAAACAGCAATGTACGGTAATGATGCCAACTGGGGCCGTATTTTGTGTGCCATTGGTTATTCACAAGTAAGTTCGGGAGATTCGATTAACCCAGCCAAAACGAATGTGTCGTTCATCCCTTCGGATGGTTCTCTGAAATTAAAGTTACTAGTTAACGGTGAGCCAGAGTTAGTAGATGAAGAGAGAGCTTCGGAAATTCTTTCTGTAGAAGATATCGAAGTTGAGATCGATTTGGGTACTGGAGGTGGTCAAGAATGTAAGTTTTGGACTTGCGATTTAACCCACGAGTATATTACCATTAATGGTGACTACAGATCTTAAGCTCGAGTCAAGATCACTGGATGATTTACTTTCAGGTACGATGTATAGAATAAATATCTAATGTAATATGGATGTAAAGCATTTGTATAGCGAAAATCGCGTGTTTTGACGTGTAGTTAAAATTGTAGATCATGATATTCTTCTTAGAATCTTTCGAAAACCAGGACATATGAGTCAATCTGCTTACCAATCTACTATAGAGGATCTCCCCGATATAAGCACCTCTACCAATGTTACTGTTACGAAAGAAATTTTTGGTCTCGGGCTTTTTATAAATATAGCAGCTACAGGTCCATGCAGATTATACGTTACTGATTTTACTGCTAATCCACGGGTGGTTAATTCCTTTCTTGACAGTTTTTTAATTGACGAATTTGAAATACCTACGGAGCAAATATTTCTAATTGATGTATATAAAGAGAAATTGAAAGGGCTAATTGATGAGTATGAGAGACGATATAGAGAACCTTTATTAGAAAACGATGTAAGACCACCTTTTAGAATTTCAGATAAAATATGCATTGTTAAGGCAACGGTGGTATTGAAGAAATTCAACAACATTTTAGAAGGCAGAGCCAGAAGTGTAAGGTTGGTAAATGAAGGAGATTTTACGTCGAGTGAGAATTTGCAGAAGTTGTATGCTAAAGTTTGTAAACTACCCAAAGAATTCTTTAAAGAAAATTTGACTAGAGCGAAGACTGTAATACCTAGTGTATACTTAGAGCCGGTATTGGCTTCCTTGGGAGATAAGAATTCAAATATCAATGAAAATAATGATGGTAGCACTAATGCAAGATCTAATGCAAATTCTAATACGGAGTCGGTGATTAATGATTCAGAACCACGACAGACATACGTGAAGACAGAGGAAATAACGGAAAGCATGATTCCTGATACATTATTTCCGAATGATTACGTGGATACAGCACATCAATCATTAGATGCTGATATTCAGCAACGAGAAAATGAAATGGAATATGAAAATAGCTTCCCAAACCCGTGTGATGCCACCTCCTCGCAACATGCATACTCACATCATGGATACTCACAACAGGGACACTCACAACGGGAGAAATCACAGCAACTCTATTATTCATTGAAACAACTTAATGATTATCATAGCTACGGAATAGATAACGAGGTATACAGAGTCAGAGGGAAAATTCTTGGTTGCAATCCATCTGACTGGTCTCAGGTTTGTATCAAGAAGTATGAACATAACGCGGTGAAGAATAAGGCATTGTTGAGTGACCCTTACATGAGGCATTTGGAGATTATATTGTGTGATCAAATCCCATTAAACAGCCAAGAAGAAGTATTGTTGGACTCTGATAACTCAATTACCATTGTCCTTGATCAAGAACAAATTGCGCAAGCATTGAATATTGAAGCTATAGAACTGGTCTATACAAGAATATCAGAATTAAATGAAAAGTCATTCACGAACGAAATTCTTGAATTTGAGGTATATAAGAAATTGGTGAATATAAATGCAAAAAATCAATTCCTTATTTGGTCGGCTAGAAGTATTTCATTTGACGTTATTATGGAATAATGACATTAGTATTTATAAAGGTGATTATAAGTATGGATTTTATACTAAAGATTTATTTAGTTATAGAAATATAGAACACCCATCAGTTTATGAAACTGAAGAAGAGTTTTTAATTGAAATACCAGAACTATTTTTGGACTTGATTGAATTAGCTTTACTGGCAACTCGACTAATTGTCAGCACCGTATTCTTGAATGTTTGCATGCTTTTGTCTATACCCGAGTAGTATCTGGCTGCTTCAACAATTGGCCAGGGTACAGCTCTGAAAATGGGCAAGAAGTTTCCATAGAAAGGTATTTTAATTTCGCCTCGCCTGCCTAATTCTATTGCTGAAATAACATTATCTGCAACATATTTGGGATCCAACTCGGGTGCAAGAATACTGGAGGGAGTTTTAACACCATCGAACATACCTGTTTTCAATTGGCCTGGACATATTAATAGAGTTTTAATCCCTTTAGGATTTATGGACGGCGGACCCAACTCGTATGTCAATGATTCGTGTAGTGCAATTAGTCCAGATTTCGATGCACCATATGCACTTAGACGAGCTGGAGACATGTACCCCAAGACTGAAGCAATAGTGACTATATAGCCTCTTTGCATGAGTAACATATCTGGTAGGAAAGTTTTTATCGTGTAGAAGCTAGACATTAAATTGATTTGAATAGTTCTTTCAATCTCATCGTAACTTAAGTCTAATAGAGTTTTTCCAGTAGTAATTCCAGCATTGTTAATCAAGATTGTCACATTCCCAACATCCTGCTTAATCTTTTTCTGGCAACAAATAATCTGTCTTCGATCACTCACATCGCATTTGTAATAATTAACTGTTCCAACTTTTTCCAGTTCTTCTGGAATCTTGATGTCAAGTACGACCACCTTTGCTCTTTTAGTGACAAGCTTTTTAACTATTTCTCTCCCGAGACCACTTGCACCACCAGTAACCAAAACTAGATCTCTATGTGGTTCAAAATAATTTCCGATGAGTGTATTGGAAATATTTCTATATTGCCGATTAAGATGATAAAATAATATTGAAAACATCGATTTATTCATTACTTATATATTCAATCTATAGTATATAAGATAACAACAGGACCTTAGATAAAGAGAACTGTATTAGATCCACAAGAATAGATGCAAAATCTGATCTTGTGGTTCCATATAAAATACACGTGACTTGGACTATAGCTAAGTTAGTATTGGAACAAAGTTGAACCTCCCTGGGGTATAGGCATTATTGATCAAGATGGAGCATAAACCGCCTCAAATCCTTAGAATCAAAAGAAAGAGAGGTCAAGACCCTCTTCAGGCATTGATTCTAGAAGATAACAATGCAGCGAAAAGGTCGAAGCCATCATCACCAGTTTCCTCAACCGTACTTGATAAGAATAATAATTTTTATTTTACATTGACTAGAACGGACGAATCTGGAGCTATTAATGAGGAAGCAGTAATTGAATCGATATTATCTGAAGCACCATCGATGAAGAGAAAGGGCTCTTCGGTACTCGATAAAGGTGCTGAGAAAAAGGTTGAGAATTCTAATGTGAATAGGAAACGGAAGTTCATTATTCCCAAGAGACAAACAGAAGAAGATACATATATATCTAACGAATTGGCCGATATGGTAAGCTCATTGTTAACATCTAAGCACAATGTGAATAGTCCCCAAAGGAAACGGCGAAACAGAAGTGAAAATAGTGCTAGCAACCTTGGAGATTCACCTATAGTTCCAGAAACAGAGACAGAAAGACAGCCTGATGTTGTTGCTATAGAAGAAGTATCTGACTACGTTTACGATGTTTATCAGCTATCCCTGACTGAACCAATGACTACTGCAAATCACCCTCAGTCTCAGATTGGTTATATCAGATTTTTTGACGAAGACAATGATTTGTACCAATCAGATGAAGAAAAGGACAAAACTAACAACATGTTTTCTGATGATGAGGATTCAAATGCAGAAAGTTTCTATCAAAATGACTATCCAAGTGACGAAGATGCGGGTGCCTATAGTGATACATACACGGAAGAAGACATTGAAATAATACAACTTCAAGATGGCCAAGATAGTCAAGACAATGAGGAATACGAATATATTAGTTCAGGAGCTAAACCCGAAGAAGGCTTTGAAGATTTGTACGACGATTTTTATGATGATGGTGATAATGATATTAATTTTTTGGCTGAAGATCAATATCATCATATAGATAATGATCCTGAATTGGAAAGAAACCAGTTCTTTGAGAACGAAGAAGATGACGACTTAGCCATACATAGGGATATAATATTTGGGAAACTAAAAAAAATGATCGATGAAAGGAATTAATGCCTCTATTTTATACGTACGAATTCATGAAAAGAAATATACACTATCTAATACTTTGTTTATATCTAGTTCACCAGTCGATGGCTTTTCTATTATTTTGACCGGAACTAACAAGGGCGTGAATGCCTTAGATAATTTATTAACATTTTTTGATGCTTCATGTGAATCCGTATAATCATATATGCTTAACAACTTTGGACTACTCTTTGATCTGAAGTATAAATGTGGGTTATATTTCCTAACCAATTGTAAAGGGGTATTGGCATCATCCTGATTATTAGTCTGAAGAAGCAACTCGTGATAAAGTATCTTATTGTAATGCTTTTTTGTGAATTTCAAGGGCTCTTCAAAATATTGTGATCTTAATGTATTCAATTCCTCTACTAACTCCAAATTATCTTTATTTTTAACATACACTAGCTGGAAAGATTTGCGTGTAGTGTGTACCATGTCTTCTCTCAAATTTTCAATAATATTTGAAGTATGTAATCTGACGAATTCTTCCCTTATTATCCTTGAAAGTTTATTGACATCGCACGGTAAGGTCCAAAATGAATCGTGAACAGAGACGAATGGAATATTGCTATTTTCGGCAGATATACAGGTCATAAGCATATGAATTGAGTCAATTGAATGTATAAAATTAGGTGCAACAGCATTTAACTGCTTTCTTACATCTATGTGAGCCAATTTAGATGGTTTGTTGATGATTATACTTTGCAATGAAGTAGGTAATGCCTTTTGCTTAGTATGCTTGTATAGTTGAATCACTGGAAAGCCTGACATGGATGTCCACATCATCGGTTTATAAAGCTGCGGATTAAAGAAATCAATTACTTCTTTTTTATTAAGTCTTGCTAAGGATTGAAAGGTTTCTAAGTCAAACGAATTTATTATTCGAAAACAATTGTTCAATAACCAATCTTGGATTAATTTAGCGCCCGAAAACAATTTTCTGATCGAGTTCAAGACTGTTGATGCCAAATAATTAGAAACCTCAACATTTAAAGTCTTCAATTTAGAGAATTGTTCAGGAGTGATTGGAATTTCATTGCCTTCGTTCAATTGAACTTCAAAATTCTTAATGATTTCCTTAATTCTCATATTAATTTGCAAAGTAGCACCATGTCTAGTGACCCCATACACACTAGTCATAACAGTTTGTTTAACAACTTTTCTAGATAATATTGACAAAGAGAGTGCAGCGAGTTCTTGATATTGATTTGAAAGATCCAGTGAATGTTTCAAAACTTGTTCCTTAACAATATTCAAGACTTCTGTATAGACATCACTTCTGATAGGATGACTCGAATCGGTTTGCAATAGATTTACTGAAATTCCACCTTCCTTATCTTTACCCAATGCCGCATAATGTTGTAATCCATTGCATGAGCCATCTTGATGTATCGGAATCCTACAAAGGTATTCTTCAACCTTGTTATCATCTTTTTGACAATATTCCAATACTTTGTTGATTTCAAAGCATAGACTCAAAGTTTGCCAAGGTTTTTCGCCTGATTTCCACCACATTTTTCCTTTCATTGGGTTTTCAGCGGAATCAATAATCAAATTTAGATTGTTATCAATAAATTCAATTCTTTCTTCCATTGATAACTTATCCTTACCGTAAACTCCAGCCAATTGATATTTCAACCAATTAAAACCGTTGGGGCCCAATGGTTTAGCAAACCAAAACATTAATAATGAGCGTACAAGGTCATCCTGATAATGTGACAATAATGAAACCATAGGATATGCCCTGCCTCTAAAATCAACATTATGAGGTAAATAAAACATATCTCCGTTTTTATTGAACGAATTAGCCAATTGTTGAATTAAATTCAATTCTACTCTCTGACTTTTTATAGCATGATACTCTTGTAATGATTTTGCTGCCTGAACCCTATATTTCCATATAGCTTTATTATACTCTGATTCTGATGAATAATCGGATTTTTTTGGTTCTAGTGGCAATATGACTTGCAATTCATTGAAGTTAGGCGGTATTTTCAAAAATCCTTTATTGATACTCATTGCCTGGTTGAATATATTTAAAGTAGATGGATTGATTGCCCATGCCAAAGATCCAAGAACGTTTAGACCTTCATAAAGTGATTTAAGTTGTCCTGTTTTATGGGCTTTATTCAAATAGAATAGGGACGTAGATAAATCATCTGTATTAATAATATGCTTGAGATCATTTAGATATCCACCTACAACAGGCGACGTCCAAGGCTTTGGAGGACAAAGCATCGGAAGATATAATGATCTATTAACAAAGAAAGATTCATAACTTTTGAACTCTTCTAGTAAATATGGATGAATTTTAATAACTCCTAGCTTCTTGTATGCTGGACTATCATGGTTTCTTAGATAACCCCAAAGAAATGCAGGGAATTCAGCATTTTTTTCAGATAAAAACGACGGATCTATTTCTTGAGAATCATCAATCAACATTAATGACTGGGAAAAGGTTTCATTATCGATGAACGACTGAGGAATTTTGCAATTATGTATAAAGATACTAATCAATGAAGTAAAAAGGACAATAGAATCCTCTTCATGAAAAAATTTCATAAAATAGGGCTTGATATCCTTAAAGTTTGTGTCCTTTAGAATTAATCTTTTAAATGACGAACCCAAGGAATTTGCCAACTCTGAAACTTTAACATAACCCGATTCGGATGTAAGTGTTTTTGATAAAATATTTGAAATCATTAGTGTAACTATAATTCTTCTGGGAAGCAAATTTAAATAAACTTTGTACTTATACAATATCATTTCATCGGGAGAGCTACTTTTGAAATTGGATTTATTCAACTTGACAGTTAGAGAATTTAATTTATTCATAGTTAAATCAAACCAAGAATAAACCAACTTCGAATTAGCCATTTTGAATTTATTAATGTTGATTTCATTTGACCTGCTGTGAAATTGGAGATCTTCAACTAGATCAAGACAATTTGCCTCGACATTTAACTGTTTCAGTTGATTGAAAGTATGATATTCTCGAATAAAACTTTCTTTATCTTCGGGAGATAAACTTTCGTACAAGTCATATAATGGAGTTTGACTTAATTTATCGTATTTATCAAACCTTGTCGCTATATAGTCACATAATTTGCTGAAGCCCAACAAACCATCAGTTTTAAATTTGTCAATCGAATTACCTTCCTGAGAAGTATCTTGTCTTAATACGTTAGGAATCTGTGTAATCTTTGCAAATGCTTTCAGCAATTCATTATCGGAAATGGTATTTATAAAGTCTCTAGGAGTGATATTCAACTTTTTTAGGATTGTTTCTATGTACTTTGAAATAGTATATTTCAAAGATTTAATCTCGACATTAATATAAGAATACAATAAACAGGATACTAGCTTTGTTTTAATTTCAGAATTATACTCATGTGTAAAACTTAAATCGACATCATCAATAATCAACTTGATATTATGGATATTAATCGTTTTTGGATTAGATATTAAATGTACTAAAAGAACCGTTAAACATGAATAGTAAACATTCACATTTTGAATATTTTCCTTGACCTTCACTCGTTGTTTCAACTTGTTAAGTAGCATACGAGCTTTCAAGAAATCATTTCTTAAAATTGATTCAAAAAAATAGTTTATCAAAATATTATTATCATTATTCTGCACTCTAAATATGCTGGTGGAATCATTATTAGCGTCAAATATTGAAGCATTCAAGAAGTTGTCAGGATGA